GGTGGTATTTGAAATTACAGTGGCATAGCTTCTAGTATCATAGCAACATGCCAACAACCGCAGTACACCAAACTGAGGGATCAGTGGCATCATAAAGCATTCCCAAATAGTGGAGTATACAGATATTGGAGGACAGACTTTTCGTTTTAATTGAAATAGAACAGTCAAATTCTGTATTTTCTCTCTTCTCTCCAGATTTCAAATCAACAGAAAGTGCATACATAGGCAAATATTCATAGGCACAAAATCCCTCCATCAAAAAAAAAAAGGAAAATAAGAAGGGTAAGAACACTTTTCACTTAAGAGAAATTGAGGAATTCCCGAAAGATGGGAGGCCAGCAGCAGCAGCCGAGGGGAGTACTGGGGTAGAGGCCAATGAGCACGTAGCCACTGCCAGCCCACATTTTATAGAAAGCTCTGCCAGAAAGTACAGACACGGATACAAGATCTCAAGTCATTTGTATGTGAGAAGATACTTAACGAGGCTGGTTCCATCTTAGTTGGGCTATTGGATAGACCTTCACTAAATAGGTGTTAAATCTATGTAAAAGGGTAAAGGAATTCTGTTTCTGAAAGCTTTATTGGTAATTCCAGCTTGAGTTCTCTGAAATAATCTTACATATTTGTACTGAGGCCTGAGAGGCCTAGATTCTGTGGTGCTTCATGGGTTTAACAAGCTTTCTAATGAAATCAAAAGATATTAGGCTATGAATTAGTTTTTAGTACAGACTAAGAAAGAGAACCTTCAATAATATGGCTGATTAGGAGTGACCTGCAGATAGCACTACTTTGCCTGTTGTGATAGTAGGGTAGCCCAAACTGAGAGTAGAGGCTGAAATAGGAGAACAGGTAACAGAGAACAGGACTGGTACCATAGCAGGGCCCAGAGTCCCCCATGGAGCAAAGGGCAGCACTGGGCAAGAACAGTCCAGAGTCTTTATAGAGTTTCCTGAAGTAATTAGGTGAATTGATATGGGACAAAGGAAGCCACCCATAACAGGATTAATGATCTAGAGATATGAATAAGCTAAAATGAATCTATACATCCTACAAATTAATACCATATTTTTCATAGAATGGGGCAGCAATAGTAGCAAGATAGGGCTGAACTAAAGCTACTGACTCTTAGGCTGTAATGCCATAAAGTTTCCACTTTGTCCTATAAGGCTTCCCAACTGCTGTCTTCGTGTTTTCTGATGGTCGAGGAAATAGGGAGAGGCAAAGATTTCAATAGTTGACATGATGTGGTGGTTCTCCATTGCCCCTAGCCCATCCCACCCCAAGTTCCTAACAATGTCACGCACTATAGCTTCCATTAGTAACATTCCTCAGTGGCGCATTCTCTGGGGATAGAATTTGGAGAGCATCTCAGACTCAAGGATACATGCCTTTGAAATATTTTCTATCCCAGGTACTTCTGTCATTTCAATATGATTCTTCAGCCCCACCCCACCTCTTTCCCTGCCTACTCCTAGCTAGCATAATTTTGATGTAATTTTTAAGGTTATTGATCTTCATTGTACTACTCAACTTTCTGGATCCTCAGTTTTTATGTTTCTTATGGAAAATGAGGATGATAATACATATCTGTGAGGATTATTGAAAAATTAAATGAGAGGAAGTATGTATTTTAGTATAAATCACACATGTTGACCTTCCAATATATATGGGAGTTTTATTGCAAAGTTATAATAATAATAATTCCAAAAAATAAAATAATAAAATAATTCAAAATTACTAGAGCCTATAGCACTTTGAATTGCCTACCCCAACCCAGAAAGATGTTTTTCTGCTACATGACTTAAACTCAGCATATTTTAGGAATATACGTAATTCTTTGTGTGTGTCCATGTATTTCAGTCACTTGGACATCTTTGAACCAGCTAGACATTTGTTAGGAACATACAGTTTGAGATAGTTGAATTTTTTTAGTAGCCTCTGAGAGTTTTGAGCCATCAACAAGTTCTCAAAATTCATATGTTCATTTTGTGGGTATTGAACACTATTTGTAGGCTTAGAAGATTTAAAAAAAAACGTAGGCTCATGAACTCTGTCATTTATGGTTAGATACAGGAACATCCTAAAAAAGGCCTGTAGGTAAGATGTGGGGAGAAGCAGCATCATAATAAGCTTCCTGTAGGAATTTGGGGTAGGCCTTTTTCTGAAAGCATTGGTCATTTTATGAAAACACTTAAGGTTTGTGTATTGAGAGCAGTGCTAAGAAAAACCAGAAAATTCACAAAGAAAAGGAACATTTTATATTTTCTGTGGCAGTGTGAAACCAGAGGTGCCTCAGAAGAGAGTCCTGGAAACTCCTTCCAAAAGGCCGTAACTGTCAAAACCCTGTGGATCAGTCTTAGTCTGCACACAAGGGGTCTCCACGGTCAGAATTGACTCCAGGCCCTTTGGTTGCATTCAAGAAGCCCTCCTGGTGCACTGGGTTAAGTGTTGGGCAGCTAACTGCTCTTTCAGTGGTTCAATCCCACTTCAAGGGAGAAAGATGAGGCTGGCTACTCTCAAAAAGATCTGGACTCTCAGAAATCCTAAGGAGCAGTTGAACTCTGCCCTATAGGGTCAGAGTGGACGGATTGTCAATACTTCTGGTAGCTGGGTACTGGCAAGTCAGATATATTTATAAAAGTTTAAATGATAAGAACATCAGAATCATAAAACCAAACCCGAGGACATGGATACAGTCGATGTAGGGAACTGACCCAGGACAGAATGCAGATGCATGGACTTACAGGAAGGGCAGATGGCAGTGCTTACAAATATTTCTTACTTCCCGTCTTGGTCATTCATACCTGCGTTAGGAAGCTGTTTGAACAGAGGAGAGGTTCCTCTAATGCAAAGAGCTTTTATTAGATTCTCAATTGCATTCAGGTCCAAAAAGAAGTTCAGAAATGTTGCTGGCAGGTACAGAGTGGAGGGATGCTGCCCTGGGCAAAATGGGCCATTTTTCTGTAAAGTGGATGATAACTGGACTTTGTGTCTCCCGTGTTCTCTCCCCCTTCCAGGAGAAGACGGTGTTCTGCCACTCCTGGCCCAGGACTCCAATGCTAAAGCTCGGAGGGGCATTTTAAGAAGAGCTGTCTTTTCTGAGGACCAGAGAAAAGCTCTGGAGAAAATGTTTCAGAAGCAGAAATACATCAGCAAAACAGACCGAAAGAAGCTTGCCTTAAATTTGGGCCTAAAGGAATCACAGGTAGTAATGAGAAAGAAGATGCCTACGATTTTCTGATTTCTGAATGGGTTCAATGAACCGCTCCCTGTGACAAATGATGAGTGAGCTGGGCGCAGGCCTGGACCCTGAGGTGCGATTGCAATGGATTTTCATAATGTCTAGTGTTTGGAAATCACATGTCACAGTTCCCATTTGGAAGTATTCCTTCTGCTTATAGGCCTAGCATTTTTGCCATTAAGCTGATTAATTTTTTCCAAATGAAGAGAAATGCTAAAGACATGACATTTACATCATTAAACTGTTTGCTTTGCATTCCGAGCAACCGGCTTAATAATTCCTTACTAAAGCAGGAACCAATTTTCCTGTTTTTCTCTTCATTTTCAATCCAAAAATGAAAGCAAAAATGAATGACTCATAAATACCTCTTAATGGGCTTCATTATTTTCTGCTTTGGGTTTATTTAAAGTACTGTCAAATACAAAAAAGAGCTCCCAGGCAACCCCATAGGACGGAGTACACCTGCCCCGTATGGTCCCCAAGGCTGTAAATCTTCAGCGCTTTCCCGAGGCGGACTGCTACATCTTCCTCCCACAGAGAGGTGGGAAGTTCAGACCACGGAACCTCTGTGCCACTAGGTCACTTATGGGTCGAAATCAACGTGATGGCACTTTAAAAAACGTATACGGTTTTGGTTTCTTACCATCATGTTACATCTGCAACATCTCCTAGACCTTCATTGTACATTGATGTTTCATATAAAGTTTGAGTGAAACTTTTTGGACTTAGGAGAAATACAGCATACTCCATTTGAAGGCTAGCCGATTGACTATAGGTTTCCTCCTTCCTCCCTGGACCCCACATGAAGTGAGCACTGCACTCAGAGCAGCTTTCCAGTGGAGGGACCGCCACGGAGCAGACATGGCTGCTGTGTCGCTGCCGCTGTGGAGGGAACCTCCGGCCCAGGCAGCCTGACCCTGGTGCTTTCTGTCTCTCTCAAAAGAGGGACTCTTAGCCACCCTATGGGACAGAGGGGAGCCAGCATGTTGAGTTGCCCAGGGTGTTCAGTGCACAAGGGTGCCTGCACGGTGGCAGCTGAAATGCAGTAGGAAGAGTGCTCCGCATGCCTTCGGGGGTCCTCGTGCATGCTGCAGTCACGTGCATTTCCCAAGGTAGGGTAAAGGCGGGGAAGGACTGGCAGAAGCTTTGTCTTAACCACTTTGGTGTACTGTTACTTTCTTACTACTAATGATCTGGGGGTTTTTTTGGGGGGTGGGGGTGGTTTATGGCTTGATTTCAGACCATATTAAAGCAAGTAACATTGAATGAAGCTCTTTTCAGTCTTACTTTATCCCCCTTAGGGAAGCAACCCTTCTCCCCGACCCCCACCCCTGCCAACAGTTTGAGTAGAAGTAGTACAGTGTGCAGGGTGGTAGAAGGTAATTGCCCTGGGTCAGGTAGTCTGTGCTGTCTTCCCAGGGCACCACTTCACAACCCAAACTAGACACACGGCCATGAGTCGACGTGGACTCACAATGACCCTGTAGGACAGGCTCAGGCTGCCCTGTGGGTTTTGGTGCCTGAAACTCTGTTCAGGAGTAGGAAGGCCTGTCTTTCCCTTGTACAGTACTTAGGAGACCAAAAACAGAATGAAGTCAGTTGTGCCCAATTTTATTACTTTCAAAATGGAGATGAATATAGGTCTTCAGTCTGTCACAGGACAATGATGTGTATGTAACAGATGCATCGTTAGCTGTATCTTGACGCTCCTCCATGTAGGAGGCCCTGTCCTATAAGAGGAGTCAGAGAGCATTTTGATAAGTACTGAGTAAGATATATTTCTTATACTCCTGAAACTTACATGCATGATTGGGAAAACAAAGAAACTCATGTAAAATTAGGAAACAGTGTGACACAGTAATCCTGGAGCCGTCTCACCTGGTATGTTAGATATACTGCCAACAAGGGAACTAGATCCTCAGATACGTATTTCCCTGGAGCCTTATATTAATGGAAAGATAGCCATAAGACTATGGTCCACCTCCCCCTGGTAACGCTAGTGATGAACTCTTTGATTCTTAGAGGACCTGCTGGGCCTGAGTGAGGACCATGTGAGGGCGTCATAGGCCTGGCCCACATCTCACGGGATATTATTTCCATAGTCAGAGGGGAGAAAATACACAGGCTCAAGAGGGGAACTTCTGGTTGACTTAGAACTTGAAGTAGGTGTTAAAAGTGGCTCTGTTAGATTTGACAGTACTCTAGAAGGGTGTGAAAATCTCTGATCGAATATACTCTTCTCTTAAAAAAAATCTGCTAAAAAGATAATGCAGCAACCCATAACAACATTTCACCAACCATCATCACGCCACCCCCAAGAAAATCAACTGTTTTCCTTTTTGCATATTATCTTCCATTGCATGATTTATTATTTATTATCGCATGATTTATTATTTATTATTATTCATTAGCACACAATTTATTATTATTTATTATCGCATGATTTATTATTTATCGCATGAGTTATTATTTATTATTATTTACCATAGCGTTATTTATTATTTATTATTTATTATCGCATGAGTTATTATCGCGTATAAGTAAAAAATTATTGCGTCTAGAGTTCCGACTGATCCGTACCAAAGTTGGGCTGCTGACCACACAGTTGATCCCACCAGCTTCCTCGGGAGGAAGACAGGGCTTTCTCCTCCTGTAAAATGTTAGTCTTGGAAACCCACAGGGGCGGTTCTCCCTGTCCTTTAGGGTCTCTGGGAGTTTATACATCCATGAGCTTCAACACGTGATCAGTGGATGCTGTTGACAGTCTCTTAGTCTAGTCAAGACACAGGTGTAATCAAATCAAAGCAGTGTCTTCCAAAGGGATCTGCTGGGCCAGTTCAGTTCAAGGTAAAGAAGTCAGTTCAGAATGTTACAGCGACCATTTTACTTTATCTGATTCTAAAGAGGTAAATTTTTTTCAGTTTTAGAACATTTTCTTCATTCTTATATGCATGATTATTATTAGCTCTGCATTATCCCCTGCCCCAGTATCCCCTGCTATAATCCTAAGAAACTATTATTAATATGGTTACTGTGTCTATGAATCACTTATCCTGGATTTCAAATAAAGAAAATCACACCAAAAAATGCCAACACAATAAAACACAGAACAACCTCAACCCCAAAGAATGAAGAAGATAAAAGGAATCAAAACAAAGGAAAATGGTCAAAAGAGAAATCAATAATAATATGTTAAATTTTAACTTACCTTTGTCTAAGTTAACCCACTTTCCAATGCGCTCTGTCTGAGGGCAAGACTATTCACATCCCTTGTTGATGGTCCGAGGGAGTTCAATGGAGGCTTCATCTGTGTGGGGCCTCTGCAAATGGATTTTGGGCTTTCACTGGCCAAAACCCTCTGGCAAACCAGGTGCTCAGAATGTAAGTGCTAAAACAATTCCCTCCTATGAGATCGGATGTTATTACTTACAATCCTTGGGTTACATGTTCTGGTATTCTCCTTCCATATGGATTTAGCTGTCACCTCATTTAGATGGCTGCTTGTTTTAAGAGACGTCTTTATGACTCTAGACACTATTCTTTCTGATATCTGGGCCTCAAGAATGAACACTTTTTATCTTACTGAACTTTTTGGAAAATCTCAGCAGTAATAAACATTTTAACATTTGCACAGATATCTAATTACAGAAAATATGGTATGTGGTTGATGTTAGATTCTCTTGAGTTAATTGCAACTCATACAAACCGATATGCAACAGGAGAAAATCCAAATAAAAAGGTGGATCACTCAAGGGCTGCTCACTTATTCGAATTTATTGCTTCATCATATATTACTTTTATATGTACACCCTACCGTCTCCCTGCATGATTCAAATGGTTAATATGCTTGACAGTTAACCAAAAGGTTGGACATTTGAATTGATAGAAACACCGGGAGAAAGGCCAGGTGATCTTCTTCTGAAAGACCAACCATTGGCTGCTGGAGTATATATCTTTCCATTCTGACACACACTGAGTTTCCCTGAGTTAGAATTGACACAGCACCATCTGTTTTTGTTTTAGCTTTGTACATGTGCAAATATATAACCACACACATAGCACATGATGCCTACTATGTGCCCTTAACATTTGATAAATCACTGATCCCTACAATGAGCCTATTGGGTAGGTACAATCATTATCCCTGATTTAGCAAATAGGTGTGGTGGTCTGTTTTCAAAAGTCACAGATCCACTTCCTTGAAAACACTAAGCAGCCATTCTACCCTGCACACAGGAAGTCACCGTGAGTTGGAATCACCTTAATGGCAACTAGCAATTTTATAAAATATCAATATGAGACATAGAATATGTGTGTGTGTAGTTAGACTTTTAAATGCAGTGCAATGCAAATTACCTTTGTACCCAACACACAAATCAAGATCATTATCACTGGACTAGAAACCCCTATATAGCCCTTTCTCTATCACACCTGCTCCTTTCAAAGGTATCCATTCTCCTTTCTGCAGCATAGATTACTTTTAGACTTTATAGAAATAGAATTTTTGGGTACATATTCTTTTGTAAAGGGCTTCTTTTGCTGAGCATCATGTTTGTGAGATTCGTTATTGTACGTAGCAATAGTTCATTCAGACTCATCATTGTTGTTCTCTACAACTCATCCATTCTACTGATCATGGGCATTTGGATTGTTTCCAGTGTTAGGCCATTATAACTAGTGTTGCTAACGGTGCATATTGATTGATACTTTTTTCCTTTACTCGAGTGTTCATTGACATCCTTCCAAGTCAGTCTATAGAGATATATACCCCAGTAGACTTTTGCTTGGATATATAATTCATTTAGTCATCTTCAAGTTTGTTATCTTTAATGCTAAATTTTGCTTATCTTTACATACTTTAAAATCTTTTGATAAGACAAGGAACTAGCAGTGGCACTTAGTGTTAAAGTTGGTGTACACTTTAAAGTATAATAACCACCCAAACGAAATCCCTTGCCTTCAATTCAATTCTCTTAGTTGCCCTATAGGACAGAGGTCTACAGAAGTAGACCGCCACATCTTCAGCTAGTGGTTTTGAATTGTTGACCCTTTGATTGGCAGCTGAGTAATTAACAATTGCACCACCACGATCCTTTGTTATAATCAATTAAATTTTTTCCCCAATACAAGCTAGTATCAAATTAAATGCCAAATTTTAGCAGCTAGTCACTCTAATGTGCAAACTCTCTACTATTTTTCATTTTTCAAAAATGTAGACAATTTCAATTTCATCGAATTATCGTTATAGTTTTATTTGAGTTGTCTTAATTACCAGAGCTTGAGGGTCTTCTAGTAGTCCTGGTCACTTGTAGCTTTTGCATTCGACTTTTCGCCGCTATGTACTTTTTAATGTTTTTGTTGACATGTAGCAATTATTTCATCTGATAATCAAAATATTTGGGATATTATAGCTGTGAACATTTTCCTGTTACAAATGTAGAGAAAAACCTCTTTACATTTTTAGGATGCCTTCTTCTCCTGGGTTTATGATGTCATTAACTGGACAGAGAGTTCTAATTTTTTGTAACCAGATAGATTTGTTTTTTCTTGCTTCTCTGGCCTCCTCGGTTTGTACCATGCTTAAGAAAACATCCATTGCCCAGAACTTTAATGATAACCTCATATTATCTCCTAGAAGTTTGATAGTTTTGATTTAAAGTTCAGCCCTGTAATCTATTTGGAATTTGCTTTGTATTTGTTGAGAGGTAAAACTTTTACTTTTTTCTGAATAGATCCATTTATCCCAACATCACTGGATGTGAGGGAACTCATGACTTTTTGTTTTCATAGTGATATCACGCAACAGTTTTCTGTATGTGAAGAAAAGCTCAGGGTAGAAGAAAATAACAAGTGTGATGAGAAAGACAAGACCCATTCCAACCACTGAAGGACCAATTAACTGCTGTAGTGAGAACTCATTAGAAACCCTGGGCACACGTTCTCCGAGCCAGCGCTCACTGCAAATCAGAAATGAATGCAGGGCGAGGATCAACCGCTTTGTTATGTGCACATTCGTCCTATTTTCTTAAGAAAAGCCCGAATCACAAGGGGGTGTCTGGAACTCAATTGCGGGGGGAGTAGGGGGTGGGGGTGGCAGATTTCTTTTGTAGCCATTCTGAACATTGCCAATCACATTGAAAGAATGATGAAATTGTTTTGCGACTCTGGAAAAACATCTCAGCCTTTTTTCCTTCATGGTGAGACAAATACTTGATGGGTAGAATTTAATAATATCATCTGGGTAAAACATGGATCCGGTTTTATTTTAAAAATACAAGTTTCCTAAGTTTTTTTTAGAAATCGACTGCATTTTTGGTGTAAGAATACCAAATGTAATGCATCGGAAAAAGAATGCAGTTGGCATTTAGGCTCCTGGGAAGCTAGTTGTGAAGTTTTCTTCTCAAGCGCTGCTGACTGCGAAGTGGATAAGAAACGGAAAGATAGGCCGAGGGGACGGTATGATTCAAATTAGAAACCACTCTTGTAAGCACTTCCACGTTAATTATTGATCCCAAACCTTAGAGTTTGATACATCCTAGGAGTAATTCAGACTCAGGAATTCTGTGTGTGTTTGTGGGGGGCGAGGGGGGGGGGCGTTGTTTCAAAAAGTGGGAAAATTCCATTATCTTTTCATTCTATTTTTCCATGAATTTTTTAAGACTCCTTTTATAAAGCCTGCAATTTTCCACAATGTTACAAAATGTGTTCTGCAAAAGCTCCCAATGAAATCTGAATGTTTAGAAGCAACCGAGCACAGGTGTGGGGTCTATCTAGACTGAATGCTTTCACTGCATTCACGGTGGAGATAACGCTGAGTTGCTGAAGCTCGCTGCGTCTTGGTTTGCTCCCCTGAGGACTTCCTGCAGTCAGTGTGAGGGTCCATGTATATAGTCCAAGGAGAGTGCTTGCCCCGGCCACTAACACATAAGAAACACAGATGTAGAGATTCCCTTACTAGTCAATGTACTTTCTGTGAATAATTAATCTAACGCAGACTAAGTGGTAATGTAACATGTCTAAAAGAGTTACATCAGTTCTGAAAGATGTCAGGCTTACAAGATGTAATCAATTTACCATAGTCATTTTGCTTCAGGTGTGTCTGTGGGGCTGTCATATTATTTTCTTAGATTTTAAAAAGGAGCCATGTGTAAAACCACTGGAGCTCTGTCGCTTGGTCTTTATAATAAAGGGTTCTTTCTTGATTATAAAGATAGGATTAGAAATTCTATCTAATGCATAGGAAATTCCATGTAATGCATAGGAAACAGAATGCCGTTATAAATTATTTTTTTATTGTATAAATGATAAATTATTTATTTTAAAGATGGACTCATAGAAGATAGGACAGTTTAAAAAGTGTAATTGAAAGCAACTGGAGCAAGTGATCATTTTATCCAATTATTTTCTCATTAGGTGAAAATCTGGTTTCAGAACAGAAGGATGAAATGGCGCAATTCCAAAGAAAAGGAAGTGCTTTCCAACAGATCTCTCCCAGAAGTGGGTCTCCCAGAAGATCCCCTCTCAAGATCTGCCCTGGGTTTCCCTTCTCCATGCCCTTCCCTATGGGAAGTTTCCCGCCAGCACTCCAGTCCCAGTTGGAGGGAGAATTCACCAGAACCTTCAGAAAGACTGATTCAGGAGCGTTCCAGCGACTCACCCCTGGAAGCAAATTCACTGCAAAGTGCCTTGTATATGTGTTCTGAAGAAGGCACTGGAGACGAGGGGGTACTTGCTGCCACCATCTGAATGAACGCAGCCCTCCCTCCATGTGACTTTCAAAGAACACTTCACTAATATTGTTTGGATTCTAATACCTGCTAGCTTGTGCCTCATCAATGCCTAAAACCTAACATGCTTGAAATGATGCATGAACTAATGCTTTAGGAAACTCCTCTCATTTGTCTCTAGACTCCAGTTGACTTGCTAAATGGAATAGGATCTCCCAGGAAGTAGGAAGAGACTGGAAAGAGAGAGCAGTTGTTGGCTCAGTCCCTGCGCTGAGTATGTGTATATATATGTGTGTCTCTCTGTGTATGTATGTACAAATATTCCTTAACATGAATTAGCATGAACTAGTTCTTCCTTTAATAACATTGAGAAAAATTAATTTCCTTTTATATGAAGAAAAAATCATTGATTGAATACTATTCATTTTTGAAAACAATGTAAAATGGAGGTTTTAGCCCAAACTGTCATACCACAAGAACATGTCTAAGAAGTTTCTCTATTCTTTTTTTTTTTCAGAATCCAGTTATAAATTAATTGCAATCAACCTGCTCAGTCCTAATCAAATGAGTCAAGCTATTTACATATACTGCATGTATATGTTTAAAATTAATACAACTAGAAAATTAGAAGAATTCCTAAATATAATTTTTGATCCCCTTAATTTTTAAATCCCTGAAATTCATCAGGCCGTCTGTGAGTGAGGTCTTTCTAAGCTAATGGTGAGCCTTTTCATTTCCTCTCTGAAAGAAGGTCAGAGGTCACAACATACAGTGCCTTTAAGTGCTTTTTAGGTAACTAGGGGGCATGGTTCCCCTAAAGATAGCTCATTTCAATAATTTTTACAATATTGTGTCAGCCAAAGCAAGCATCTTTGTCCAGAAATGGGTGGCCTCAGGTTGACAGAAGCGAGCTGTGGTATCAGTGTGCAAAATGTTCCCAATGGGACTTCAAAACGCATGCTGATGGCATCTGTAGCGATTTTGCTTGCACTTCTCATTATAGACTCATTTTTCCACTTAGGAGGCAGACACTATAGAGTAGGGTGGATTTTTAAAAATGTAGTAACAAACCCCACACAGATGTTTAATGCTTCCTGGCTGCGCTGAAATACTGTTATTATAAATGTGCATTTCTGGTAACAATTTGCTTACTTAATCCAGAAATTTCTATTCCAGATCCAAGGAGAAATTAGGTTTCACTTTGAAGGATATGAAGCAGAAAAAGGAAATGCTGTGGTTTTGAATTAGGTTATTATTAATCCGTGTACAAGACACGTTCCTAGAAGCTCTTTTTGTGGCATTTTGTTAGCGAGAACACTTAGTAATGATAGTGGTAAGCTATAGATTTTGAAAACTGAGTGTTTAGAAAAAAATTCAGAAGATAACAATTTTAATCAACATCAGGAAGTCATTTTGTTCGAGTGGAATTTGAATTGGTCTGTGGGTAGCCTATGATTTTATCGCTAGATTTTTTTACCTAAAAATCATCTGAGAGGATTGTCTCAGTGCCACATGGTGGGGGTTTGGAGAGGGGTTTTACAGTCTGTATTAAAATGATTTAAGATATGGTTTCAATTCTTTAGATATTCTTAACCCTGTTTACATTTATTGGGTGCCTTCTATGTCCCAGAGACTGTGCTAAGTCGTTTGGGTGGATTAACTCATTTGATTCTTGAGGCAATAACCCTGCGAACGAGGCACTGCTACTCATGATACCTGTTATCCAGACCAGGGAACTATGACCGAGTATGCAGAGGGTGACTGACCAAGGGCATGAGGTTCATAAACGAGATGTAGGTAGACCCTGGCGGCCAAGTTTCTCACTTTCAAACCAAGTATGTGGGATGCATACCATTGTGCAATTGTACTCTATCTAGTGATGGGATGTGCTGTAACAAATACATTTTGAGATATTGCAGTGAGATTTATTAAAGAAATTCTGAAGCACGTTGTATTTCATACGTTTGTCTTACTTGATAAATGGTTTTCTCTTCGGTATTCTCTTCTCGACTTTGAAGTTCAGGGCCAATAAGGAGTTGCAGAAACCTTCAGCCATGAAGCCCTTACAGCAAAGAATCCTATAAAGTGTATGAAATGGAGATGTGTCACAGAGCACCAAAAAGTAATAGAATATTGATCTATGGTCATTCTTTCTCGAGAATCAAGTGCTAGAAACCTGTCTCATGTCAGATTACCCAGGTGTTGTTAGAAGTGGGCTAATTGGGGCTTACCTAATTGTCCCCTTAAAATCCAAAGACTTGACCCAGGGGCTCCAAGCCCCGGCACAGGTCATTCTTTTGTCAGTACATTCTGTGGATGAATATGCTGATGGTACTTAGGAAATGCAAGCACACGCACATATCTTTTGTGCCTTTACATTGCCTTCCCTTAGCAGTCTTGGTGGAGGGAACTGTGGAGCAGACTTTGGTCTGCTAACCACCTTTCCACCCTCCATGGACTCAAACGTGTGTTTTCCTCTGGTACTCACACACAGAATTCCTTTGTCACAGAGTCACAGATTAGTATGGTAGCATGTTTGCTATCTGCTTTCCAGACACAAGATGAGATAACAAGCACCAGAATGGGAAACGCCTGGAGACAGAAGCCGTTTTAATGCTTTAGAGGAAATTGTTCAATGACTTGAGCTGAGGAGAAGAAAGATGTATGGGCAACACATTGGAAGCTTTCGTAAATGTTTGGGATTAGAAGTACATAGTCATTGGATGCAGTGAAGGCCACAATCCCTCACGCCCAATGGGTAGCTTTATTCTCTTAGTAGTACCATAAATAATATTGCTTTAATGAAAAACTTCGTTATTTAGGCCAATGTTTCTCAAGTTTTGGAAACCTGTACATATGAATGTGTTAGACTTGCCCAGTTTGGGACCTATGCTCAGATCTGGTTACACACTCCTAACATCCTCCTGCAGTATTCCACCTCCACCCAGAGGATCATTGTTATGTGGATTTTGTCTTTCCCTTTTCAAACATAAAATCACATAAACTGGTTGAAACTACACATGTCTTTTATGTCCCCTTTCACACTCTTTCTGGTTCATCCCCTTAAAAGCCACACAGGCCTCAACATACTCTGGGATCCGGTCTTTCAGTGACCAGTGATTTTGTCAGGCCCAGTTGAGCTTTACAAACAGCAGAGCATATGCCACGGTTTTGATAAAACTGACAGACATCACAGGTACTGTCCTCTGAAATCCACACATTTTTTTTCTTTTTGTATGTTAACACAGTTTGAACAGATACCGTCTTCTAGGGTCTATGTAAAGAAATAGGAGGGAGAACATGGTCCTTGTCCTCAAGTGGTTTATAATCTAGTCTTACTGTCAAGCAACTGTTGAAGGGTCCCACACTGCCTGTTACTGGAGCCAGTGAATTTGGGGTAAAAAGCAATATTCTGACATTCTCTAAACCCTGCCTTTCTATTTGCCCATGAGAGTTCTGGAGGACTCCACTACTGACAAGAAAATATCTGCTCTGTGTTCCTGGTTTTCTAAGTTGTTCTTCTTCCACTCAGACCACAGTAGCACAAACGGAATTAGAAAGAATTCGAGGGAAAAATTTGATAGCTTTCTTTTGTTAATAGTCTACCCTGCTCTTTATACTATTTATTTAGCCTCAGACCATCCTATATGAGTGGAGATGATAGGCAGAGAAAACAAACAATTCAAGCGAGAGAAATCAGAATGACTAATATTTATGAATATATAGAGAAGAAAAGCTAAATTGGTTTATATCCTTGACAATCCATTTCTGAAATTAGCAACTACCTGAAAATCATAATAGCAGACCTACAAAGATAGTTCTTAGCTTCCAGTTATGAGTTAGATTCTGTTACATTGCTATTTTGGGGTTATAAAAGTAACACATGTTCATTATATAGAAAAAACATTAGAAAATATAGGTAACAAAGTAACATTCACATGAAATTCTATTATCAAAATAATCAACTTATCTTTTTTGTGTGAAAAAATTTCCAATTATTTTTGTGTGTATATAAATGGATAAAATGTGTTGAAACAAATTTGGATCATAGTGTACATCTAGTTTATTATACTTTTTGCTCAAATGTATACAGAGAACTTTTTCCTATGTCGTTAAAGTTACTTGAAAATATTTAAGATGATTGTAATAATTCCATTAAGCTCCTTCACGCCTTTAGGTAGACCAAAAGATAGGGTCTGAGTCTAGGAGACAGCAGGTAAAAAAATGTGACCATGAACTTCTGCACCATGGCATGGGGGAAACTATCATTGTTTCTTTTAACTATATTTTAAAAACTTGGAGTGAAAATTGAGAAAGTTTGAGGGTATCATTTCGGTGATGTTGAATGCCAGGAAATATCAACCATACCAAGTGGAAAACCTCTTCCTCAAAGCCACAATGAAGTTCATTCGAAGCTCTACACCATCACTCAGCCCTCAAAGGGAGGGTACTCACTTTCAATACATTGCCAACAGCAAGCCTGCTAATATAAGGCACTAACCACCAATCTCTAATTGGTCTTGGTCGATGGATGTATTAGTTCAGCTCTCTAACTATGCGTTATTGTTAATAAAATGGTGAAGAGACAAGCAAGTTGATGTCAATCTGGCATCTGCCACCTCCTTGATGACTGAGTTGATAGGATTGGTTTGCCTCTTTTAGAGTTTCTCCATTCTTACAACTCTATTTTCTCCAAGTTCTTTAAGCAGAAATTAATGGGGAGAATCTTTTTGGGAATAGAACATTTAGAAGTTAAAAGGGAACTGGTAAACCTTTCATGTTATTTGAACTCAGACTAAGACTATCAGTACCTGATGTTAATTGAAAACTGAAAAATCAGACATGTTGCATTTGACATGCTACCAGACTACGATACAGTCTATTCATAATATACATCTAATTGTATTGCATGCATTTCATTTTGACCAAGTGCTGAATATCAATTGTAGTATCCCGGGGCTGAGGTACCAAATCACCACAAGTGCAACAGCAGAAATGCCTTCTCATCGAGTTGTGAAAGGCGCCCTGGTGGTAGAATGGGCACGCACTGGGCTGCTAACTCCAAGATCAGCAGTGCGATGACAGCAGCCATCCCGAAGGAGAAAGGCCAGGCTTTCTACTCTGTAAAGAGCCACAGTCTCAAAATCCCACAGAGACAGTTCTCCCTGCCCTAGAGGGTCACTGTGAGTTGAAATCGACTCAATAGCAGTACGTTGAGAGAGAGAGTTGTGAAGATCACAAGTTTGAAACCAGCGTGTCATGCTCTCTCTGACGACCACAGGAAACTGCTGCTTCTCAGCTTCTGGTGGCTCTAGGCAGTCTTTGGTTTGGGCCTGCATGACTCCAGTCTTTTCCTATGTCTTCACATGACTTTCTTCCCGACATGCCTTTGTCATACATTTCATTCTGCTTTTCTTTGGATTCACTGTCAAACTAAGATGCTTTCATCTTGTGATCCTTAATTATATCTGCAAGGACTATTTTTCCCTCAAACAAGGTCACATGCATGTGCCCAAGAGCCAGGACTAGACCATATCTTTTTGTGGACCACTACTCAACTCATCACCACAACATCCAGCCCAATAACATTAGAGCTTCCAATACTGGACCAAAATAAAATGTAGACCAAACCAAATGATTTAGATTCCCTTGCTATTCTCCATAATGGAATTTGCCTTACATTGTTTCTACTTAAATTTCCTATCAACCAAATGATGCATTACTTGTGAAAATAACGGGGTAGGAAATTTTGTTAAAATTGTCTCCATTTTGGATTACATTGCCATAGAGGGAAAATTTTAAGAAAATACAACACTATTTTTTTAAAAGCCCTCACATGGATTCCAGATGTTGACCACTTAATCCAAGAAGGTGTTTCCTTATTATACAAATGTGGTCCACATAAAAAAAATTGGCATTGTTTAATTTATGACTCACACGTGAACCATTGTTTTTTGTGATGTAGTTATTTTAAGTGATTCATAAATTAAGCAATGCCAGTATTTTGGACACATACCATATTTGTATAATGAGGAAACACCTTCTTACATCAAATGGTCAACATCTGGGATCCATGTGGTAAACTTCTTTGAAATTTTAAATAAAGGCAAATTAGCATGGCATACATGTTCTGAGATGCAACTAGCTGGTATTCAAAAGAGGGTGATATTGGTGCTATATTATAGTTTTTAAAATGGGAGATATTGTAGGGAGAAACATGCTGGGTTGTTACAGCATCAGTTGAGGATGGATTGATGAAGGTGGAGTGAGATGCAGCTTGGGCATTGCCGAGTCGGAGTTCAAAAAGCAACCCAGTGTGCTCTCAGACTCAATTAGTAGAGTATAAGTTCTTCAGTGAAAAATCAACCTTAGAAAAAATTCAACCAGAACACTTTTTTAATCTTTTAGGCTAAATGATGCTCCCACAATTCCTTCAACTTCACTCTTTTGCAACACACTGACCATTTTTGCAATTACTTGTTTATATTTTGTCTTCTGACTCTTATGAAATCTAGACAGACTTTCAGTTTTATGAGGTCAGGAAACACCTGGCAGGGAGCCTGGAATTTAGTAGTGTTCCAAACATTTGTCAAAATTAAATGATATTTAAGATTTGATGCAAAATTAAGTGGCACGCAAGAATTTTACTCCCAATTTGCTGCTTGCATTTGTCTCATATACCGCCCTCATGTTAAAATAAAAGGAATCCATAAGTCAGAGGAAAAAACAAAAAAGACAACAGAGTCAAAGTGACAGGAAGAACACACCTGTTGCAATGATCCTCGGTATACTCTTGGGGATGAAGCAAACTTTTCTTTGGGTGATGATGTTTCAGTGGAATCCCGAAGGATGAGAAGCCACACATGGAAAGAGTGAGAGGAGGAAGGTTCCATGCAGAGGAAAGTTCATGTGCAAATTCTTTGGAACAGGGAGCTTGCTGTGTT